AGTCTGGGGGACAGAGTGAGATTCCAACTCAAATTAAAAAAAAAAAAAAAAAAATGTAGTAAGGCCTATGGTGGCTATGTCTGTACTGAGTATGTACAGACTTTTCTATTTTTTTTCAGACTTTTTTTTTCTTGTCATCGTTTCCTGGACAATACAGTATAACAATGATTACCTAGCATTTACATGATATGATATTAAATATTGTGAGTAGTCTAGAGATGATTTAAAGTATACGGGAGGATATGCATAGGTTGTATGCAAATACTACAGTATTTTCTATCAGGAACTTAAGCGTCTGTGGATTTTGGTATCTGAAGGGGGTCCTGGAGTCAACCCTCTGTGGATACTGAAGGATGACTATATTAAATACAATGCATAAAAATATATTTAGCATTTAGTACATATAAGTGTGTGTATATATATTTAATGGTTGGATGAATGTACTAACTGCTTGTGTACACATATTCTGCAAATTGCTTTTTAAATCTTTGTATATCTTGGACTGCCACATGCTTTTCATGTGACCAGAAATCCACCTATGAGAAGACTGCAAGAACAGTCATTTGAAAACAATGATTGGAGAATATGAGCTGAGTGCATGCATACTGGTTATAACTCAAAAGTTAATCCAATGCAAAATGGGAATTTATTTTCTTTTTATCCACAGATCTTCAATTTAAGATTGTAATTTTAGTGGAATTTAATTTGAATTGTTCAAAATAGCAATTAATTTCACTGAGCTTCAGATGCAGTGCAGATTGGTCCAATACTTTGTTCAACATATGTTATTGTGGGCGTACTTTGCATACATGGTCTACCCTGTGCCTGGTCTGATGCTGGTGGCACCAGAGAGTGAACCCGCATGATCTGCTGGCCTTTGATACTAACAAAATCTTTTTTTTTGGCTTAGAGTCTCATGTGAACTGCATTGTGGGGTCACATAGGCCACATTTGGATTCTCGGGGACCAATTTCTTCAGTGGCTAAATTGTTACCTTTTCATTGTGCTGAAGATATTACTTTATTATTTGATTTTTTTGCATCACTTTCAAATACATTACAGTTAAAAGACATATTATAACCATTAAGTTAATAATATAAGTAAGTGGCCAGGCATGGTGGCTCAACCTGTAATCCCAGCACTTTGGGAGGCCGAGGCGAGAGAATTGCATGAGATTGGGGGTTTGAGACCAGCCTGGGTAACTTGGTGAGACCTCATCTCTACAATAAATCAAAAAATAAGCTAGGCATGGTAGCACACGCTTGTGGTTCCAGCTACTTGAAGGCTGAGGCAGAAGGATCGCCTAAGCCCAGCAGGTCAAGGCTGCGATAGCCGTGAGTATGCCACTGCACTCCAGCCTGGGCAACAGAGTGAGATTCCAACTCAAAATAATAGTAATAATAACATCAATAATAATAATAATATAAGTGATAATTCTCAGATTTTCATATGGCTTTACTGCTAAAGAATGAAGAGGTCCAATGATTTTGTTGCCAAGCAATAAAGAGCCCTTCTGTTCTTGTTTGCAAAGGTGGAAAAAAGTGAATGAACACAGGGGGGCAGCATAATCCTGTTCAACAGTTAGTTTGGTGCTTTCTTTTTATTAACCTCTTAAAAAACTACCCTCACTTTGGGTAAGTCACAGATATTCAGTCCAACTGTACCAGTCTATTTTAGTAGGTACCGATTCACTTAATCAAAGCTTGATTTTACACTTTGGTAGTGATGCTTACTAGGCAACAGCAAGGAAAGAAATTTTGCCTCAGATGATCTGGTTTGAATTCCTATGTTGCCATGTGGTATCACTGACCATGTAGCACCATGACAAGTGTCAAACTTTCAGAGCCTCAGTTTTCTAATCTGTAAAGAGGGAATAAAATAAGATTCTATGTCTAGAAGCTCATCATCAATTGTGGTATGCTCTATAAATGTTAGATATTTCTTAAGCCAATGTTGATATTAAAATTATTTCTTTTAAAATCTCATTTGTTTCCTTTTGGGGGGAGAAATTGCTCGTTGATGGCATTAATGAAATCACTGTCTATGCCATTAGCTATTAAGAACATTGAGTTCTTTCAAATGCTTCACTTGGCCTGTGAATCTTGCTCAACCTGTGACTATATGTATTATTTATAACTTAGGATCATGCTAACACATCTGCTTCGTGTGTTGACATTTTCACACTGGGTGGCACTTTGGATCTCTAGAAAATGACCAAACTAGAGAGACTGTATTAAGCTTCACAGCCTTCTATTTATTTGTCTAACCCTGTTTCAGTCCTCTTTTTTTTTTGAGTCGGAGTCTCAACATGAAAATGGCAGATAATGTCAGGTGCTATGCTCTGTACTTTACACATGTTTGTCAGTTGTCTGCACAGTAGCCCCAAGGAGCAGGTACTATGATGATTTTTACATTTCCCTGAAGAGGAAACTGAAGTTAAGGATTTTACATAATTTGCCTAAGGTCACATGACTGGTAAGTGGTGGAGCAGGGATTTGAACCCAGCCCTATCTGACTCTAGAATCTGAGTTTTTAATCCAAGTACCATAGGCTTCAGGAGAAAATTGTATTTTATTGCTCACGATGTGGGGTTATTGGCACATCACTTTCCATTTTCTGGTTGTACTTCAGAGTTTCTGGCTGGAGGAAGAGTCTGTCTTTGGCTAGTAATGGTGGAGAGATTATGCCCACCACAGGAAACACTGTAAAAAGGAGCACTGATGAAAAAGTACACTGGGATGAGACTAGTAAATGCAGGAGAAGATTGATGTTAGAATCCCCCACCTTCCCTCCTGTCTCTGCACCTTCCTCTTTATCTCTTTACTCCCAGTAATATAACAAGACCTTATCTCTACAAAAAATTAAAAACTTCACAGGGTATGGTGTACTTCTGCATCCTGATTCCTCACTTATTAGAACCTAAACATTCATATTAAATGGAATAAGTAAGACAAAGAAATTAATGCATCATATCATTTGATTTAAGGTCAGTTATTTTCTAGAGTTGATATACCCCCCCAAAAAAAATACCCTCATGAGAATTCTTCTCATAAGCAAAATGGCAGTCACCAAATAGCAAAACTACATCACTGGCTACAATTCATTTTTTGATTGTGTTCTGTGCAGAGGCCACTCTCAGTTCAAATCACTTGTGTGGCACCTGCTGTACGATCAAAGATGACTCTGATGGCAGTTTCCTGTCCTTCAGCTCAGTAGTCAGCAACCCTGTTGGACCCAAGATCTTCTTTTGGTGATGAGTATTTTGTAGCGTCCCTTTTACCATACTGATAATAATATTCATAGTTAATATAATCAACTTACACAGATCACTGCAAAAATCAATATACTATTCCAAATGTAATATAAAGTCAAAATTAAAGGGAAGTGGTTCATAATAAAATGATATGTATATCAGTATGTAAATACTGAGCATAATGAAGTATTTAGATGTGATATGATTTTCCTTTTCTTTTTTTTGAGTTGGAGTCTCACTCTTGTCACCCAGGCTGGAGTGCAGTGGCACGCTCACAACCATCACAGCCTCAACCTGCTGGGCTTGGGCGATCCTTCTGCCTCAGTCTTCCAAGTAGTTGGAACTACAGACACATGACACCATGTCTGGCTAGTTTTTGTGATTTATTGTAGAGATGAGGTCTCACCTAGTTGCCCAGACTGGTCTCAAACCCCTGGGCTCAGGCAATCTTCTCGCCTTGGCCTCCCAAAGTGCTGGGATTACAGGCTGAGCCACTGTGCCTGGCCATGGTATAATTTGAAAAATGCCAAATAGGTATAGGTAAAGATCCAAACAAAACAAAGTAGTCATTCCTTGATTTACACGGTATCTGCATTCCTGGAAAAAATTCAGTGTATTTTCAAATCATGCAAAAAAATGCTTTGTATTTATATGTAACATAGACTTAGCTAGTTTCTAGACTCAGAAATTATAAAATGATTTTTAGCCTGCAAGAATGTCTGATAGGACATTAGAAAATCATTGGGTATAGGGGAAATTGATATGCAGGAGTGTCTTGAGCACTGCAGGACACCCTAGCGCCTCTGGCTCTTGCCTATGAAATGTTCCCGTAGATGTCCAAAATGTCCCTGGAGTTGGTATCACTCCTGAGAACCACAGTTATAGTTGTTCTGTGGGCCATCAGCATCCCTGTATCACAGAACATGTTGAACCCCAGTCTAAACTGTAACTTTTGTGTGACCACGGCTACGTCTGCCTTGTTCCTGTTCTATTCCCGGGTCTTGGCTTAAGTTTTGTCCTTAGTAAATATTGGCTGAAGGAAAGAATGAATAGATAGATTGATTGATTTTCTTCTTTGTTGTTTTATGGAGCAATCCTTTGATTTTTTTTCTGTCTTGTGTTGGGAAGGCTTTTAAAAATTATCCATGAGATTAAAAAGTAGTAGAAATTAGCCTCTTTTTAGGGTAGGCATGGTTGCTCACACCTGTAATTCCAGCACTATGGAAGGCCAAAGCAGGAGAATAGTTTGAGCCCAGTAGTTTGAGACCATCCTGAGCAATATAGCATGACATCGCCTCTACAAAAAATAAAAAAAAATAGCCAGGTTAGCCCAGCAATTTGAGACCATCCTGGGCAATATAGCATGACATCACCTCTACAAAAAAATAGCCAGGCTTCATGGCAAATACCTGTAGTCCCAGCTACTCAGGAGACTGAGGTAGACAGAGTGCCTGAGCCTAGGAGGTCGAGGCTGTAGTGAGCTGTCATGCCTTTGAACTTAAGCCTGGGCAGCAGAGTGAGACTGAGACGCAAAAAAAAAAAAAGCCTCCTCTTGAATAGCAGGTGCTGGGATCAAAACGTCTATTTTTATCGGAGTGCACCTCTACCATCATGTCTGAGCTTTTATTTTGTTAAACTTGGTGGTGTACATACATGTACTTATGCTTTTTATGCGTTTTCTCCTTCCTTTCTAGTGTGGGAAGAATTGGCCTACTATGAAGAAAACACACGGGATTTTCTTTTCCCTGAGCCCAGGCTGACACCTTCCCACCCTCGGATGTGTAGGGAGGTGCTCATGAAGACGGCTATAGGCTTTCCAGTAAGTGATCTGTGCCCATTTGGGCTTCCGTTGGGAGAGAAATTCTTGGGACCTGAACATTTTATTCCCGACAGGATTTGATCTTGGACATTCATTTTTCTCATATGTTCATAAAGCAAAATAAAGCCAATTGCCATAGTTTTAACAACAACTGATGTTCACTGTGTGCTCACTATATACCAGGCACTGTACTGAGCTCACTACATGGACAGCTCGCTTCATCTTGGTTACTACCCCTTTTGTTCTGTTTAGTAGTCCTGTTTAGATGCTCAGCTCAAGATACCAAATTATGCTGATTTCCACTAGTGATTTGAGAAGTGAAAATCTTATGATCTAATCAGGCTAAATCCTTGCAATATTCACATTGCCACATAGTTATAAAAAAGTTGAATTTTCAACCTCTTCTTATTGCAGATTAAGAGATATCTGTTTAGTTGTGGCTATTATGACACAGTACACACAGTAAATACAGTAGCAATAGCAATAGTAGTAATGTGACCTCTTGTTTATTTTGTCCTTTCCACTTTTTAATATATGATGTTTTCCTCCTAACAATTTTCAAGTTAGCCAAGACAGATATTATGGTCTCCATTTCTGAAGGATGTTGAAGGACACAGTAGATATTCAGTTGATCTGTTTGGGGAGAATTACCTGAATTCAGATTCACGATACTCATTTTGATGTTATCTTTGATGATTTATATCTCCACAGCAACCCTGACAATTTTCTCGACTTTTATGGCACTTGGATAATCTCCATTTTAAGGGCCCTGCCTTGTGAATTGTAAAAAACATTTAATACCCAACTTTTCTCTTATCGCCCCATGAACTGCAATTACATTATTTGATACAATGTTGTCTCCATTTTGTTGAGAGTGCTGTACAAAATATATAACATGTGGGACCTCTGTTTCTGTGATGCTTATGGTGACCGAGCTTCTAATTCTAACATTAAACAGCAGCACTCATCAAAGGTCGTCCTAATCAGAATTCTTAATGACTATAACTTTAAGCTCTTCATCATCTTTGAGGGTTTGATGAATGTCACTGAAACCATTTTTGTTTCTTTGAGATCTTCGTGTATCACTTATATCCATGGTATATGTGAGATGCTTATCTTTGTTGTTTTGAGTTATTGGGATATTGTGCTTCAGAAGCTAAAAGGGAATAAAAACTGATGAGAATAATGGGAGGGCTATTCTATTACATTCACCTGGGCTTGCCCAAATTCTCTGTTAAATTAAAGCCATCTACAAACACTGAGATAGTATCTTACTAAGTAGCAAGACAAGAAGAAGCACACTTTCTTTTTTTTTTTTTGGAGTTGGAGTCTCACTCTGTCACCCAGACTGGAGTGCAGTGACCGCTCCCGGCCACCGCAACCTCGACCCGCTGGGCTCCGGCGAGCCTTCAGCCTCAGCCTTCTGAGTAGCCGGAATTACAGGCGCGCGCTACCACGCCCGGCTAATTTTTTAAAATTTACTGTAGAGATGAGGTCTCATCAAGTTGCCCAGGCAGGTCTCGAACCCGCAGGCTCAGGCAATCCACTCACCTCAGCCTCCCCAGGCGCGGGATTACAGGCTGAGTCACCGAGCCCGGCTGAAGCACACTTGCTTATATTTTCTTTAGTGACATCTCTGTTTAACTTTATGGGCATAAATAGGAAGAAGAACCTATAGGAAGTGGTGTTTATAGTTATTTATAAATGCAGGTAATAATCAGAGAAAGAGCTTTAAAAATGTGTAGAAAAATCTCTGTGCATTAGAAATAAAGTATTCATTCTTACAATTAAGTTAATCAAACTGTATTCTGAACAATTTGTAAAAAGAGAAGAGGGTTCCATTTTTCTCATATGTTCATAAAGCCAAATAAAGCCAATTGCCATAGTTTTAACAACAACTGATGTTCACTGTGTGCTCACTATATACCAGGCACTGTACCGAGCTCACTACATGGATTGTCTTGTCCACTCCTTCACCTTGTGAGTCAGCTACTGTTCTTTTTCCCTTTTTATGGGTGGGAAAGCTGGTGTGGAGGGTTTCAGAAAGCTTTTGGGGTCATAGAGCAGGTGAGCCTTGGTGCAGGGATCCTCATGCTTGGCTGCTGGGCTTCAGAGTCTGTGCTCCCAGTCATTGCATCATGCTAATTTTCTCATGTTTGTTTCAGCCCTCTGTCCTATTTATTTTCTTTCTTTCTTCTTCTTTTTTTTTTTTTTTTAGTTGAAGTCTCACTCTGACACCCAGACTGGAGTGCAGTGGCATGCTCCCAGCCACTGCAGCCTCCACCTGCTGGGCTCCAGCGATCCTTCAACCTCAGCCTTCCAAGTAGCAGAAATTACAGGTGCACGCTACCACGCCCGGCTAATTTTTTTTTTATGGTAGAGATGAGATCTGGCCAAGTTCCCCGGGTGGGTCTCGAACCCATGGGCTCAGGCAATCCACTTTGGCCTCCCAAAGTGCTGGGATTACAGGCTGAGTCACCAAGCCCGGACCTATTTATTTTCATTAATACTGTAGGAAGTGACATGTGAGCAAGGCAAATCATTCACTTTATGTATTTTCTCCCAATTTATAAATTCATTAATAATTAGATTTATTTCCTTCACTAAAATGTCACTTTTTCCTTCGCATTTCTATATTTTGTTGTTTTATTTCATTTGGTACCTTAACGATCTTTTTTTTTTTTTTTTTCTGGTGAGATCAAGGACTTTTTTTTTTTCTTTTTCTTTTGATTATTAACTGTTCTCATTTTAGGTTAAGATTGAACTGGTAAAGTAAGCATAAAGATCATTTTTTAAAAAGTATTTTTTAGCTAATAACTTATTGTTTTTCTTTAGTTTAATGATTCTAGAAAAATCCTACTGTTCAGTCCTTTTATTGATCTAACCATCATCACCAGGAGACTGGACAAGATATAGTCTCTCTGAATTTCAACTCTAAACTATAATGCTATGCTAAAAGCAACACTGCTATGAAAAAGAAATGCATGTATCTTTATTGTCTGTAAGTCATTGCAAGGAGTGGAGGTCATAAGGCAAACAAGAAGGTGTTCCAGAGCATGATTGCTTACTGGCAGAGGTCTTCCTCCACCTCTCTAGGCAAAGTGGGTCAGAAATTTGAAAACCTATTAGGAATTGCAAGTACAGTGGTTAAGGATGGAGCTAGATTGTCTAGGTTCAATCCCAGTTTTGTCACCAATGGCTGTGTGATTTTGGAAAGTTACTTAATCTCTGTGTGCCTTAGTTTCCTCATCTGTAAAATGAGAACATCCCTTATAGAATTACTGTGTGTTAAATGAAGAAATATCTGTATAGTGTTTAACATAATACCTGGTACGTAGTTAAGTGCACAGTAAATATATTTATTATGCTGTTATTCAAGGTATAATACTGCCTCCCTATGAGGCAGTGAGACGACTGGACAAGTCTGTGGCTTAAGAGATGACTTGTTCAGGTTCAGGCCACTGGGTCACAGGGGACTTGGGGCTTGTCACACATGTGAGGGGTCTTGTGATTCCACCAGTAGCAGTGGATCCCGAAACTCTCTCCACCTTCCTCTTCACGTAGGCCATCTTATTAACGGGACATGAGGTTGTGCTGGTCATGTTATTGTATTTTCTTTATTAGATGTCCCCCTGGATTGTCTGACTCTGTGTTTATAAGCTCAGAAAATATTTTCTTGAGTTGGCAGTCTAGACCTTGCATTCTTGTGAGCATTCTATGCATTCTAGAGGCAAAAACAAACAAACAAACATCTGAGGATGTAGGTTGTGCCTGTAAGGACTTGTGTAGACAAGGAAGGAATGTGCACAGAAAGGAATGAATGCACAGGAAACAAGCTAGCTAGCATGGGGAAATGGAAAGAAGGTGGGCTTTGCATTTCGGCAGAGTTTGTTTTTATGGTATTTTATGAGCTGTGGGGTACAAGTGAGGATTTACTACATAAGTAGGTTGCATGCAGGTGAAGTTTGGGCTTCTAGTTGGCCCTGTCTCCCCTGATAGTGGACCAGGTGCCCAGTGTGTTGCTACTGTGTTGCTACTGATCAACACTTCTATTTTTTGCTCAGTACCATACTGTCATATATATATATATATTTAATTCTCATAATCCTATGAGGTAGGTACATTGATTATCGTTGTGTGTGTTTTATCCTCTCTCTTCCCTTCCCTAGTAGTATTCATCAGCAGAGTTTCAAATCCTGACTCTACTGACATATGTGACATTGAACAAATTATTAAACTTCTCTAAGCCTGTTCCCTCATGTGAAAATGGGGATACGATGGTCTACTACACAGGTCATGTGAGGATTAAATGAGATCACACCTGTGAAAGCCCCTGACAGCACTTGGCACATGTAATAAGCATGTAGTACTTTCTTCTTTTCTCTCTAGGGCTTCAGCTGGTACAAATTCTTCTTGGAAGAACATTGAGTATAAGTTGTATAAATGAAAATGAAACGTTAGAGACTGGAGGCAGAGATCACTATAGGCTTATCTGGAAGAGTTAGGATGAAGTCAAGCTTTGAGAGATAGGTAAGATTTGGATGGGAAGGAAGAAGGGGAAGGCATATCCAGGACATAAATAACTTTAAAATTTGAAAACCTATTAGGCAGTTTCAGGTACAGTGTTTAAGGTGGAGTTAGATTGTCTGGGTTCCATCCTACTTTTGTCACTGATGGCTATGTGACTTTGGGTAAATTACTTAATCTCTGGATGCCTTCATTTCCTCATCTGTAAAATGGGACTGTAATAGTATAAGTGGTGTTCTCCAAGGGAGAATAAAGCAAAGGGGTCATGCTCAGAGTAGCCCAGCTGACTCAATGAAATCAAATGGAGACAGTTTAACTCAGTCAGCTCTAGGTCCTATCCTTGTTGTGACATTTATAAGCCATGTGACCTTGGGAAATTGCTTTATGTCTCTCTAAGCCTCAGTTTTTTAAGAAAAATAACTGTATTTTAAAAATCATCATACAGTAAAATGTATGCTTTCTTTGGTTTACAGTTCTATGAATTTTAACATATGTACAGACTTGTGAAACCACCACCACAATCAAGATATAGGACAGTTCCATCACCCCAAAATATCTCCCCCATGTGATCCCTTTATAGGCACATCCTCCCCCAGACCCTAACCACAAGTCTGTTCTCTCTCGCCATAGTTTTGTTTTTTGAGAAAGTCACATAAAGGGAATCATATAGTATATAACCCTTTGCGTCTGGCTTCGCTCACTTAGAATATTACCTTTGAGATCCATCCGTGTAGTCATGTGTGTCAGTAGTTTCTTCCTTGTTATTGCTTAGTAGCGTCCATTATATAAGTATACCACAGTTTACCTTTTCACCCATAAAGAATATTTGGATTGTTTCCAGTTTTCATTTCTCTGTTTTATCATCTATAAACTAGGATAATGATAATCAATGTACCTACCTCATAGGATTATGAGAATTAAATATATATATATGTATATATATATATACATATATATATATATATATGACAGTATGGTACTGAGCAAAAAATAGAAGTGTTGATCAGTGAAACAAAATTAATTTGAAATTAGATCTCGTGATCATAAATATTTGATATAAGCTATAAAGCAAGTTTTTCAAAGCAAGTAGGTAGAAAAGGAGAACCTTTAGTCATCCTTCCACGTAGGTAATCTCATTCAATTCAATGGTCCAGTGTTTTAAATAGATTGGCTAACAGCATGGACATGGGAGCTAGAATGCCTGGATTCAATTACCAGCGCTGTCATTACTGAATGGACAAGTTACTTAAACTGTGTCTTAGTTTACTCATCTACAAAGAGAAAATACTAGTAAGATCTTATGGGGTTGTGTTAGAATTAGATGAGTTAATGTATAAAAAGTACTTAGGCCTGGGTCTGGTACATAATACATATTACACAAATGGTTAGCTAATCTTACTATGTGTATATTATAGATAATGTGTGTGGATTATGCCAACCACACAGAAGAATAGTTGGGTTCTTGCATGATTTCAGGTTAGGATGAGATGGGCAAAAGGACTGTTTCTAGTAATCTTATTTTCCTCTTTTTTTTATGCTGTTTGATTTTTTAGGGCATTGCCCCCAAAATAGAGTTTTCTACAAGGACGGCCATCAGAGAGCCTGTGTCTTTGCATAGAAACAGATTTCCTGTAAGTATAATTTTAAAAGCTAGTGATTAGAAATGATAGGAATTTTATTCAGATTTAAAAAATTTTAACTTCAACTCAGTTTACAAAGTTTAGATGCAACTGAACAAATAGAAACCTGGAAGGTTTTCAGCAGACTTAAATTTCTATATTCAAATTATTTACTCAGCCTATCACAATAGAATGAGTATGTTTGACACCTACATGGGGCCGCACGATGTAGTTGGTAGAACAGGGTAGTTCAGAAGCTAAAATCACAAATGTGACTGACATTAAGTAGTCTAGTTCATTTTTGTTGTTGTTGTGCTATAACTTTTACTCTTGATCTTGTATACAATAGTGTTTCCTTCTTTCTCTTGCTGAGGCTGATACTGAGTTGTATTTGTGGTCCATCGTTGGTAAGCATGAGAGGTCTTAGGGTATGCATGCTCATCGCCTCTATTTCACTCTCTTCTTCAACCCTAATTTCCCCTTCACCCTGATTTATTTCTGCTTTGCTGTTGCTTTATTGTACATAATTTTGTAGCCACTGAAAATTATTTCTAGTACAAGATGGAGAAGGAATGAAGATAGTAAAGCTTCTCCAAATACTTTGGGACAAGGTAGAGTAGAATTAATAAATGAAACAAAAATGCTTATCCCAATCTTACCTCGATCCTGGAAAATTCCTTGAAAATGTGGACTGTGGGTGAAGGAATGCTGAATGAGAAGGGCCACTAATCTATGCAAATCTATCAGTTCTCTCAGCATAGTTACTCATATGACAGGAGAACAATCATTAATTTTAAGGAAGTCATTAGCTGCTTTTTTAGTTTCTTCTATCATCTATTTTCTCCAACTTATTTGTGATGTGTTCATGGTGATTTTTATTTTTCAGTGTTTCTCTCTCTTACATTCCACCATTTTAATCCTGTTTTAGTCTTGTACTGTAGATTTCCCTTTAAGTTTTTAAACAAATAGCTTTTATTGTTTTTTTCTTATAATAAGAGTCCACCTTTATTTCAGAAAATAAAGATAAGCAAAAAGGACAAAATAAAAATTTTGAAAAACCTGTCATTCTTACATTTAGAGTGAACATGACTAATTATTTGCGTATATTCTGTACATACACATTTCTTTAAAAGATTAGGATCATACTACATATTATTTTGTACCCTTTTTTTCTGATATATCATGAACATTTTCTCATGTCCTTAAGTTCTTACACCCAAAATTTTTCCATGGCTTCATAGTATTTATTCCATTGTATGGAAGCACTATATATAATTTGTTTGGCCAATCATTTCCCTCTTGTTGATCACTTAACTGGATATATGTCAGGGTCCAGACAGGAAAACAAGCCAAACTCGTTATCTTAACAGAAAGATTTAATGTGGGAAAAAAAAAAAAAAACTAAACAGGGGTTAGAAGACTGACAGATAAAAGGGAAACACTGAAATGACAGAGAATAACTGCAGGAAGCAGCTTCCACTCCGGGGCTGGGGGGAGAAGGGGAAGAGGATGGGTCGTCAAGAAAAGAATACTTAAAGAAGAGACCAGCCGGGCTCGGTGGCTCAGCCTGTAATCCCGCGCCTTTGGGAGGCTGAGGTGAGTGGATTGCCTGAGCCCGCGGGTTCGAGACCCGCCTGGGCAGCGAGACCTCATCTCTACAATAAATCAAAAAATCAGCCGGGCGTGGTAGCGCATGCCTGTAATTCCAGCTACTTGGAAGGCTGAGGCGGAAGGATCGCCAGAGCCCAGCAGGTCGAGGCTGCGGTGGCCGGGAGCGGCCACTGCACTCCAGTCTGGGCGACAGAGTGAGACTCCAACTCAAAAAAAAAAAAGAGAGACCGCTACAGAAGTGGGACCTAGACCTCAGAAGAAGGGCTGCTTTCCTGGCACTTCTTCAGGAATTCAGATGTGTGATTGACGATCTAAGATTCAGGCCCCTAGAGGGGCCTTGCTCCCTGCTGATGCCACAGGAGCTCTTGGAAGGAGGTTCCTGTGGGGTTAGGCTCCAGTCTCTGAGCAGGGGGCTCTGATCAGCGGATGCCGGTAAGTCTGAGGAGTTGCAATGGGCCTGGTTCTAGCATTATAGCGGAAAATTTATAAACTGGAGCCATTTGCAGCTGCCAAGGTGAAAAATGGTTGCTGAGAGAACACAGGAATAGAATGCAAAACCAAAAGCAGCCGGTCCCATTTCGTCCAGCCTTGCAGTCTCTCTACCGCCATCTAGTGGCAGAGCCTAACAGACGAGCTGGAAAAGCAAAAAGGGGGTTATAGCTGAAGTGAGTTTGCAGCTTTGGGCAATTACTTGCCAATACAGTTGGTTTCTAATTTAAAAACTATTATAAGTATTTATGTAGCTATACACATAGCTATAGTTATTTCTTTACAGTAAATTTTTGAAGTGGAATTGCTGGGCTCAAGTGTATGCCAAATTCTCTGCCATCAACCTATGCCTTAAAAGAAGGGTGTCTGATACTTTCTGACTTTTCCCCAGTACAAATAAATCTCACTGTTATTATATGTGGAAATATATTATACTAGAAAGTTGTAAATACTACTGATGTTAAACTGAACTGGAAAAAAAATTAAGTAGAGAAATACCCTTCCTTAAATTCATGTTTTATAAATCTGAGATATTCAATCTACTTTAACTAAGCCTGGGGGCCGTGGCTCATGCCTGTAATCCCAGCTTTTGGAAGCTGAGGCAGGAGAATCACTTAAGTCCAAGAGTTTGAGACCAGCCTGGGCAGGAGAATCACTTAAGTCCAAGAGTTTGAGACCAGCCTGTAGGATTTTGTCCCTACAAAAAATAGAAAATTAGCTGGGTTTGGTGGCACATGCTCATAGTCCCAGTTACTTGGAAGGCTGAGGCAGAAGAATCACCTGAGCCTGGGAGCCTGAGGCTGCAGTGAGGTGAGCCAGGATGGCGCCACTGCACTCCAGCCTGGGTGACAGAATGAGACCCTGTCTCAAAAAAAAAAAAAAAAAAAAGGTCAGTTAAATATATCTATATTCTGATTGAATTCTTTTTTTCTTTTAAAAAATATTCTTTCTTTCTCTGGTTTCAGGAAGAACTATATAAATCACAGAGGTCTTTTTCTACATCACATGGACCAATATTTCCCTTAAAAAATATAAAGAAGAGGGCACAGGCGAATAATTTTGACAGATTGCCCAAAGGCATGCAATCTCGAATACCCTCTCCGTATTGCACCAGCCATTTCTTCCAGGACCAGCCGGCTCAGTTGAACCCTGGAAAAGATTTCAGAATCTCTGGAAGAAACAAGCCTCCATTTGTAGTCAGACATGTAAGGCTAGCATTATTTTTCGGAGTACTTTCGAATGGTGAGGGTGTGGATGAGGGTGGAATAAAGGAAGGTCAGACCATAAAAACAAATGAGTAATATTAAATAAAGAGGGAATCCAAATTGAATAACTGATTAGATTATACTCATTTCCTAGAGTCATTGTCAGGAAACTCCTATAAAGGTATCTCATACAGAGGACTTGCTCAGTAAATGTCAGCCATCTCTATTTTTAATTTTTGAAGATTATTAATAGAGTATGACGTCTACATGTGGTAATTTGTCATTATCCAGAAGAGTTATTGTGCTGACAGGGATTGAAGATGCATGTACTCTGGCATGCACCCTATATCGATTCAAAACTAAAGCTTCATCAGTTTTAAAGAAAATTGCTTGAGCTTTCTTAATGAGGTTGGTGCTCAGTGGCAATATTTTGAAGAGCAGGAAAAGTGTGTTTGCAGGAAGAAGCAATGATGTGCCATACTCAAAGCCCTTAATTAAAGTCATCTTAGATTTACCCCCTCAGGCTGTACTGGGAAAATTTATTCACACTGGTTCTCTGACTCATCTTAACATGTTTTTTACTACTATAAAAGTAATGGAAAATATAGAAAAACTCAAGAAAAAAATTACCTGTTGGCTCACCAGCATAATAAAATCATTTTTTAATGTGATGCATTTTCTCTGCCTTATTTTTGTATTCATAGTTGTAATTATACTGTATATACAGATTAGTTTCCCTATCTGTTCCAGTCAACATTACATTAAAAGAATTTTCTATATTATTTCATATTCTGCATGAACTCCAGTTCATGTTCTAATGAATGACTTATTCTGTAGAATATTAACTACTGGTAGTATTATTAAGTTGGCGTTTGGACTCAAAGTCACTAGTGGTGATACTTGTATATAACACATAAGTTATGACTCCTGGTAAGTCTCAAAGTTGAGGCACTGTTGAGTTTGATTTGTAGGTAGAACAGAGAGAGCTGTTTGGCTGGAAACTACACAAGGGCTAGCTATCTATAGATACTGCCCATCTATAGAAAAAAAAAAGAACAGTTGTAGTCTTCTTGGTGACTTGAGTAAAGATATCTGGCAAAAAACTAACAACCAATCTTTAAACATTGCTCCAGAAACATATATTTTATTGATTGATTGAGACAGGGCTTCACTCCACCACCCAGGCTGGAGTGCAGTAGTGGCATCCCAGCTCACTGCGGCCTAGACTCTTGGGCTCATGCGATCCTCCCACCTCAGGTTCCCTAATAGCTGGGACTACAGGTGTGCGCCATTAAACTTGGCTAATTTTTATATTTTCCATAGAGACAAGGTCTCAATATGTTACCCAGGCTAATCTCAAACTCCTGGGCTCAAGTGATTCTCCCACCTCAGCCTAGTCCATAAATATTGTATTGTTGAATTGAGCTTATTTCATTTTATTGAAAATAAATTTGATTTATTTCATTCAATATACATTTTTGTAAAATACAAGTTTAGTCCATGCCATTATGAACTAAATAACCTTAAAATTTTGGTAGATTTCCTAGGAAACTAAAACCTGTTTGATACTTATTTTATTTAACAAATTATTATACAACTTTTACTATGTGCTAAGATAAGTGATTTTACATATTTAATTTTTTAATTTAGCTAGGTTTCCTGATGATATGTGATGTTAAGTAGAAGCATTAAAATTTAGGAGACCTGATGTTGTAAAGACTGTAAATCCAAATCAATGTATCTTTTTTTTTGAGTTGGAGTCTCACTCTGTCACCCAGACTGGAGTGCAGTGGCCGCTCCCGGC